GAAGCGCCCTCGTCCGATCTCCAATTTCATTCCCTCTCTTTTGCCCGACACACCCCACTTCCGTATCTCTAATTACAATGAGAAGATCCCCTATTGAGGTCAACTGGGAACCTCGCTATGCCACCGATTTTGATTCCAGTTCGAGTCTACATATCGATTTTTACCAACCAATTCCACATCCACGAGACAACACATAGAACTAGCTCACACATTTCTTACACAACCGACTTCTAACATTTTTCACAACACACACACAAAGACAAAAAATTACACATAAAGGTTATATAGATTTCCATGTCTCCTGTACACACAGCATAAACGCACTTGAGGGCTAGAATCACGTTTTTCACCTAAGTGTCGCTACAGACGAGACAAAAATTTTATAGGGCATAATTGAGCAAGTAAAACATTTATAGGGCAAAATGGAGCAACCAATACATGTAGATCAGGGCATGTAGATACCAAAGGGTTCAAACCAATACACCTTATCTTTCATATCAATCATTTTCATTATTTTCTCTCAATTAAAAATATAAATGTTTAATCAATTTATCAATTTATTCAACTTATTATCAATTTTAATCATTAACTATCATTTTATTTACCAATTAGTTTATATTATCATTTTCACTTATCAATTATCATTCTATTTACCACTTGACTTATATTGCCACAACTCAATTATCAACGAAAACCCACTGGTTTTCGATTAAACTAAAAACATTAAATCACCCTTTGTTGTTGAAACCTTTTTATTTTTCATTTTTTTTTTTTTTTTTTCAAACGCTCAACTTTGATTTCGTTCAACGCTTATTTTTATTTTTATTTTGATTTCTCAAAAGACCTTATGAAATTTCCTCGAATTCCTTTCCAAAATTCAAGCAAAAAAGTAATTAGGCATTTTTCCTTTTTTTTTTTTTTCACCATTCAACCAAGCACTCAACTTTGATTTCGCTCAAAAAACTTTTATTTTATTTTTATTTTTGATTTCTCAAAAGACCTAATAGAATTCCTTCGATTTCATTCCCAAATTCGAGCTAGAATATGGTTAGGCATTTTTCTTTTTTTTTTCTCACCATTCAACCAAACACATTCAATTTTGATTTCATTCAACTACTCTTATTTTATTTTGTTTTGATTTCAAAGCGCCTTATGAAATTTCCTCGATTTCTTTTCTCAAAAGTCGAGCAAAAAAGTAACTAAGCAGTTGTCTTTGTCATCATGCAACAAAATATTTTTCTTTTTCAACCAAACACATTCAATTTTGATTTCATTCAACTATTTTTATATTATTTTTATTTGATTCCAAAAGCCTTAATAGAACTCCCTCGATATCATTTCTTATCTCGAGTAGAATTCGTTTAGGCGCATTTTCTTTTTGCCCACTATGTACCATAACATTCATTGATTTCTTACAATTAAAAAATTTTTTGATTTCTATTAATTATACTCAACCTATATCATCAACCCCATTCTATCTTACTTTTATGTCACCAGCAATGCTTGTATATAGCCCCTCAATACCCACAACTAATTTTCCCACAAAATTATTTTTCATTTTACAGAATTCTCTCAGGCTAACCCCTTCTTGAATTCTTCACATGTAGGGGGCGCATCTGTCATAATTTGTATATAATTAAATGCAACCCCGACCCACTATGTATGTACCATGTATGATTTTCGAAGACTTAATAAAGAACAAGGTAACTGGAGGGAAGCAAGTAGCATTAAGATATAGGAAGTAGACCTAAGGCTGGCACGACTATTCTGGGCACCCCTGTGTCAATATTGCAGGGGCAGAGACCGGACGTCTCTAGTGACCGCAGAAGTTATTTTAGCCAAGATACACTCAATACTTCCTGACAAAACAGGACGTCTCTAGTGACCAGAAGTTATAAATGTTAAAGCTAGCATTCAATACTTCCTGACAAAGCAGGATGTATTTTGATAGCCGCGGAAGTAAATAAAGTCAAATAAACACGAGACTTCCTGACCCAAGCCGGGCGTAACTAATATCAAAGGAAACCGCGGGCCAATCAAAAGACAGTACCTTAAGTAGGTCAACCAATAGGAAAAGATCATGTGACATCTCTCGACCAATCAGAGAGAAACTGAGGCTTGGTGTTAAATCGGAAGACAAGAATTGTCAGTAGTGTTTTTAGCTCTCCTAGGAACAACACCTAGAGTTACGCTTGAGCTCTCATAGGAACAACACCTACAGGGTTCACTGGCTCTCGCCGAGTTCGGACAGTGCTCCTTCGCTTCCAACAAGGTAATGTCTGCTCACTAGAGACCTCTCTCTCCGCTCATTTCATCTAAATCCAATCATCGCCATGTGATCAACTAATTAATAAGTCGAATCGCTCAGCTCTTCTCAAGCTTTCTTCCCTCCAATCCAGTTGCCTTTTATTTTCAAACCTCATCATGTGTCCTGATTATTCCTAACTGTGTGCTTCACTTACCACTCAACGACTGCGCTTCAATCAAATCTCACCATTCGCATCCAACAACAAGAAATCCCGCAACGATATTGCCACAGAACGGTTAAGTCGACAGGATTCTACAACAGTGTAATACATCAAATATTATAGTGTAATAACAATTGCAGCATCATATTACATATATTAGTTAATAACTATAGCCTATGTGCTTTATCTGTCTATGTACTGTTGGCTTCCGTAGGCGTCTCTTACTGGGAAAAAGAAAGAGAGGATTCCATTTAGTTATTAACTAATATATGCATTTATTTAAGGAGCGACCTGCTCCAACACAATAGTTACAAAAACCAAAAAGCGAGTGGGGGGGGGGGGGGGGGCAAAGTCAAAAACAAAGTGTCTCGCGTAGTGGCGGCGCCATCGTAGCCACGTGATCGTAGCCAACCAATAGGAGAGCGCCATTCCAAAAAAAAAGCAAACGGTGACAGAGATGATGACGCTCGTAACTGTATATAGAATAATCCAAATTGTGCCTTATCAGTTTCATAAGATGTCGGGATGTTTATAGAGACTTTGTTAAAATAAGGTAAAAGTTCCTTCAGTTCTCTCTCACCATCTTCCAGCACATTGTCCTCGATGTTGGAGTCCTCTGCAAAGTCTATGTAGGCCTCGACCTTGGCCACATTCTGGACACAACCAGGAACATCACACACAAGACTAAAGTTTTCTGTACATGGTGCAACAGAATGGCCACTACACTCATGAACAAAACTTGAAGAAGTTTTAGCATGTGGATGGCTCGATTTTCAACTCTCATATATACAGTGTACTCCGCTTATAACGAAGTCGCATTATCCATGACAATCACTTTGTTATATCCGAAGTTTGTTATATCCGCAGTTGGGGAAAAAAAAAAAAGCCTCATCAACATCAGCATATGTAGATCCACGTGCTCGTTTCCGACTGCTTTCTCCCGCATGCAGAGCTTGTTGGTGGATATTCTCAGAGTTCTTTATTATGGTGCTGAGCGACGACTGTGGGATATTATGTTTCTGGGCAACATCTGTCTTTTTCTTCTCCACTTCAATCTCTCTTAGGATTTGCAGCTTGACTGACAGAGATAGTGAGTTTCTTGTTTGTTTTCGTTCTCCTGCCATGGTAAACGTTAATAAAATATAAGCGTTTATTAAACAATTTAATTTTGTTTAAATAATGTAAAAAAAATACTTATAATATGTTTGCATATTTTAAAATTGTATATTATTAACTTATTTGTTGTGTATCATTAAATTTGTGTCATTCACACGTTGTAATTTGATATATATTATGCATAATATATTAGTCAATTATAATGGTAAATGAGAAAACTTCGTTATAAACGGATAAAATAAAAATTTATACATGCAAATCACTTCGTTATAAGCGAAAATTCTTTGTATCCGACTTCGCAATATCCAGAGTTCTTTTAATGGTTTAAGCCCTTCTTTTCTTTCGTGCAGACAATTTCATTCGCTATATGCGGAATTTCGCTATAACCGACTTTGTTATAAGCGGAGTACACTGTATCATCTTTCAAGCATAAACACACCTGGCCTCCTATGCTTACCCCTCTGTACCTGGCCTGTGGTGTAGTGGAAATTGTTGGGAGATACAGTAAACCCTCTACACGATCGTATCAAGTCTTGTTCTGGTAGACTAGATGTTGTAACCAGGAGGGACACTCCCTCTTTAAAGGCTTCCATGTTAGGAACGGCCTCAAACTACAGACAAAGTCAGACTTTCACCAAAGTGTGCCTGGATCATGGTGCCATGATCAACAAAAGCTGCACCCCTATACCCCATTCCATGAGATCATGAACTCATGGAATCCGTGTAATCTTTACACAAGGGGATAAGAAACAACAACAACATAAACACACCAATTTTATTCAATATCAACACTTTGAGATCCAAATGTTGATTTTTGAAGCGAGTTGATTGAAATAGAATGGGAGGTTTGACTTACTGGCTTTGTTTACAGGAATAGTAGTGGCATATGAAAGGATGCCTCACCAGAGAAATACTAGGGGGTAGGTGGACAAGTGGTCTAAACGGTTGAGTTTAAACCACTATGACCCGGGACATATCCCACATTGGGCACTTTTTTCTAATTTAAACAAAAAAAATCTCCAATGGCCTTTGATTCTTAAAAAATCTCAACCCCACCAGTGAGTGCAAGTAACCAAATGGGGCGCTGGCACACTTGTAATTTCAAAAGGCGAACTAGTTTTCATATGTGTAGACATGTAGTGTGACTTACAGTAAAATCAGTAGCCAACTTCTCTACGCACCTTTTTTTATTGCTTATCCCTAGTACACATGGTACAGGCCATGATAATCATTTGTGGGTAGAAGTAGGCGACTGCTTTTACTGTAAGTGCACCACATATCTACACATGTGAAAAGCAGCTTGACTCTGCACTTACAAATGTACCAGAGCTCCGTTTAGTTACTTATACTCGCTGGTGGGGTTGGACTTTTTCAAGAATCGGGGGCCATTGGAGCATTTTTTTAATCAGAAAATAGTGCCCAATCCAGGAATCGAACCCGGGTCGTAGCGGTCGAAAACCAACGGTTTAGACCATTCATCCAAGGACCCCTTCTACACACCATGATTATCATGGTCATGCTTACAGTATTACTGGCCACATATGGGACTGCCCCGACTGGTGGCCACATTATTGCAGCAGACAGCAGTGAGCCAAGTTTCCCATAGATCATGTAGTTAGACAATCCAGATAGAGGAAGCAGATCCAACATACCAGCTTCAACTGGTCTGTCCACCGCTGGTACACCGACGAGAGCTTCCCACCCAGGAGCTGCAGCGCCCTCTGTCTCTGGGCCTCTGTGTCAGCATGGATCAGGTCTCCGAGACCTTCCGCCTCGGTCAGGTCCAACTTGCCATTCAGGAATGCCCTGGAAAATCAGCTACCTTGGATCCGGGATTTTTAAATGTTCTAACAGCCACATATATTATGTGGCCAGTTTTCTATCAAATAGTAAACATTCATATATATACTCCATCATCTACGGACAATGACTTTACAGAATGGTTGCAAGGTTTTCTCACTAAGTACTCAGCGCAATTCTCAGCCTGCAACCCCAAAACACATTATTGTCTGTATTGGCTCAACCATTGATGAGCTCTACTCATCCCCAGCAGACACCATCAACAACCTTTGGGAGAGGCCGCTGCTTATCATAAAACAGCTCGAGGAGCATGAACTCATGGAATTCGTGTAAGGGGATAAGAAACAACAACAACACACCATCAACAAGCTCTATAAGCTTGATACCCTGATATGATTGAGGGGAGATAAGAAAGAAGAAGATATATATACTCCACCTGTGGGAATCTACATTATACATGGAGTTACCTGGAACTTACTGTATCCCTGGGATAGTATCCCTGACATTCCAACCCATGAAATTTTGACATCTTGGCCACTAATCCTAGCAACTCCCCTCACTCTCTTCTCAACCAAAAGTTCTCGACATTTCTTCTAGTGCATGCCTGTGGATTCTTTTGATAGTTTCTATGAATGAGAGTTATTTAATTGGCAATAAAACTATTGAATACTCTGTAGAAGTAACAAGGGTGAGAGAAGATGGTGAGAAAATCTTGAAAGTTTGACCTGCATAGATACATTTTCTGATCCCTCATATCTTGATGTGAGACCTCGTTATAACAGCCTCTTTTACTAACATCGACCTGGTTAAAATATAACAATTCTAAAGTCCTAGTACTGTGGTTATAACATGGTTAAACCCAGTCTTTGAATGGAAACAGTGAAGAGAGACTACCTCCAGGAGTGACCAAGTATGAGAAACTAATGTAACCACATGTAATGCTGTTATAATGAGGTTCTACTACATCATTGTTTACCACGGTGATTGGCAGCCACTAAAGTTAGGTCTAAATTGTCCATTGTCAGCGCTGATTTTCTTGAAAGGCCATATTGTTTCCCTGACAGGCCATATTGTTTCCCTAAAAGGCAAGTTTCCCTGACCGGCCATATTGTTCCCTAAAAGGCAAGTTTCCCTGACAGGCCATATTGTTTCCCTAAAAGGCAAGTTTCCCTGACAGGCCATATTGTTCCCTAAAAGGCAAGTTTCCCTGACAGGCCATATTGTTTCCCTAAAAGGCAAGTTTCCCTGACAGGCCATATTGTTTCCCTAAAAGGCAAGTTTCCCTGACAGGCCATATTGTTTCCCTGAAAGGCCATTTTCCCTGACAGGCCATATTGTTTCCCTAAAAGGCCAGTTTCCCTGACAGGCCATATTGTTTCCCTGACAATTTGGACTAGAGAAGAGGATCACAAAGACCAAATTATACAACAACAACAAACAAAAAAGCCTTTATTTAGGGTCACTGACCCTATACAGGATTCACCAGAGGTAAGCATAAGAACAAAGCAGTGAGACAAAGGAAATAACGATATATACAGAGTAAGAAGAAAAAGAAAAAAAAAACAAGAAAAGAAAAAAAAATAAAAAAATAAGAAAGAGGGAAGCAAGAAATCAACACAAAAAGAGTAGCAGTAAGAAAGTGAGGAGTGAGTATCACTTGGCCTTCTTCTGAGATATGGACTTGTGGAAACCATAAAACGCCGTAGCAATATACTTATTCTGGGTCATATTGTCAATTATTGATGGAAGTGAAGCACAGAGTTGCCCAGTTTTGAGCATAAGGGTTCTTCTTTCTTCTTTCAGAGCAGGGCAATCAAAAATATAGTGAGTGATTTCATTTTTTAGTTTTGAATTACAGAAGGTACAAGTCGGGTCCTCACCGCAGAGCATCTTGGTGTGGTTTTCTCTAAAAAAAACTCGAAAGTATTCTAACTTGTGCGAGTAGTCTTACAACCGGGAAAGGAAAATCTCCTAAAAGGTATCCCTCCGTCATGAAAGATATGTGAATGTCTTTGTAGTGAGGACCAAATTATATGATATTTGGTATCAAAGATTTAACCAAAACATCACATACTTATTTGGTCCTTGTGTCTGGTGAATTAATTGTCCAGCTGCGAGGGATAAGTTACCTCCGGGTGAACTCCCCCGGCTCAGCCAGAGCAAAGTCCGGGAGCCTGGCCAGGGCAGCCAGAGTAGCTGAGATAACAGCCGGACCTCCGTGGACATGGAGCTCACAGACATCTTCTCCTGTGGCACTCCTTGGACCTGCAGCACCACCATCATCCTTCAGGCTGGAGACTTCAGGAAGATACTGAGTACAGGAGATATGCCACACCATGTTAGCTGACCTCAGATCAGAGAAGGTATCACAAGATGCATCAGTTTTCTCTTTTCACAAACTAATTGTGAAGATTGTCTCTCTACATTGATAAAAAGCACAATTTGGATTATAGATTATAAAGCACAATTTGGATTATAGATTATAATAAAAGATGGATTAGGTCTTGTTTTCTTTTATTTGGATTATAGATTATAATACAAGAAAATAAGACCTAACATTTTTTCTTTTTTTTGTCTGATGATGGTGACAATGCTGTTGCCGAAAGGTCACACACTATTAAATTATTTGGATTAGGTCTTATTTTCTTGTAGCTATAATCTATAATCCAAATTGTGCTTTATCATCTACTAATTATAAAGATTTTCTCTCTCTACATTTAAAAAATCCCCAAGTGGCCACTCCAGGACATGTCTTCTCATTGTTTTGGGACTACAAGTTGGTTTGATAACATCCTATTGTGTACCACCTCCAATATGGAGGGTGGAATGTCAAAAACAACTTGTCTTGATGTTACTTAGGGACTGATACTGGCATCTTTTAGATGGAGTGTTGTTGAAGCCACTGGTTGGAAATCTGAGTTTCCTTATATCAGAACTCTGCTAATATAAGTTTTATTTTTAACCTGAAACAGAGGAATATGTAACATGGGATAGTAAATATATTTAGTTAATATAATATAAATTATGAAAAGACTTATAAGAAATTTCTCTTGAATTGGTTATAATAGATGATAAGATAAGGAGAAAAACGTTTCTTTAATGAACGGATTCGTGACAAGCTTTCGGGCTGTCAAGCCCTTCAACAGGTACAATGAAATTTCATTGTACCTGTTGAAGGGCTTGACAGCCCGAAAGCTTGTCACGAATCCGTTCATTAAAGAAACGTTTTTCTCCTTATCTTATCATCTATTATAATATAAATTATATATTTAAAATAATAATAATTGGGTATATATGTAGGATTTGATTAGGAAGAAGCAGGCAACACGGAAGAAGACATGTACAATGACAAAAGACTAAGACTTTTTACTTTCTCTTTTTTTTTTAAATTTTGTTTTGAAATATTGTAAACTTTATCTATTCTGATTCCTACATATATATTGCTTTGAAAATAAAGACATCATAGGTTTCAATTGATAATATTGCAAAATAGTCATGCAGAAAAAAAAAAAAACAAGTTTGATGTTTAAAAAGTATTTTCAATGAAAAAAAATCTCACTTGGAAACCAGAGGGTTATCGCATGATCTAGAACTGTGCTTGAAGATGGTTCAAAAAGTTTAATTTGTGTTGCTACACGAGGCTTTGGTATTGCTTTTTCTCTCGTCATCTGCATGTAAACATTTTTGGAGTTTGGCCCGGATATTCGAATAATTGCCAATGCACTCTTGCCACGCGGTGTAGCTGGTGCATATATTGTGTTGGAAGAATATCGAGCAATACCACTAATAGCTTTAAAAACAATTTTTGAGTCGAAAAGTTTTAAAAAATTGAGTCTCATATTGGGTAATATAACATAACAAATAGGTAAAACAAGCTCTTGAAGTGCGGGTAATAATAATAGCACATGAAATCTTGCTTACTTTGATATTGGTAAATATTTAGAAGACACGGAGTAAATTTTTTTTCAAAATACTTTTGTCCAAAAAAATAAAATATCTGTTGTTAAAAAAAAGGTGCCTTCAAAAGAATTGTGATATATTTTCTGAATTTAATTTTAAATTTTTTCTTAAGATACACGCAACTTTATGAATATATTTTACTTTTTTTTATTATTATTTAAAATAAACACAGAGTTGTTTACGTCTCGTTCTCAACCAAAATAATGCCTCTACTCCCCTCTAGGTGTAAAATGCTGCGTACATTGAGATCAATACAAAGGATTAATAATTGATAATTTGGCTAAAATGAATTTTTATTTTAAAATCAAAATATGCAAACAAGTATACTTTCAAAATCTTTGTTGGTTCCGTTTTTAATTCTACTTCTCAGTTCCATTGGAGGTTTTAAAGATCCAAAAAAAGGTATATTTAGTTGATATTTTGGCTATATATCTTTACAATAGTTTTAATTAATAAATTATATATTATTTTACACCAATATTAATATATACAATAAAAAATTAAATACTACATGGGAATTCAAATACATTTATTTGGAAAACTAAAATAAACAAAATCAAAAGCTAAAGAAAACTTACCATTATTTAACATTATTCAGAATATTTAAAAATATATATATATATCCAATTTCTCCCCATTCCTCTCTTTATATATGCATACCAGTGTTGGGCATTAAAAAATTATTTTTCAATTAAATTGTTAATTGACTAAGAAATTAATTGCTAAT